CTCATTGCATTGGCCGCAAATAGCCTTCCTCTATTCTTTACCTGCTGCCAACTCATCCTTCAAGCTCTTCCTAATCCTCCCTGTCTGGGCTGGGTATACATTTATGTGATCCCACAAGCATGTCCTTGATACTCTTGACATCACAGTACACTCTGTGGCAAGTACTTGTTTCCATAAGCACTTGTCCCTCACTGAACTAGCTCGAGTTCAGTGATTGTATAATGAATGGCTCATGAATGTTTATTGCATGATTGGAAGATAACCTCAGTATGAATAAGATCGTGCCCTGCTTCCCTCATTTATAAAGTTCCTAAAAAATAATCTTGAATTTTGAATATTTTACTTTTTTTAAAGTAATCTCTATACCCAATGTGGGGGTCAAACCCACAAGTCCAAGATCAAGAGTCATACACTCTACCGACTGAGCCAGACAGGAACCCCAAGGTATAATCTATTTTAAATAAAACCTCACACATGTAATTTGCTACATATGTGTTAATGAAGTAGACATGAGATGTGAATATTAAATACCAAATTATGCTGTATTAAGTATCATTGGCCATTGAATATAATGTTATTGTCCTATTTGAAATATTGCCACCAATATCTGGTTAGCTAGGTCAGGGAATCTTAACCCGGAGTCCAGACCTCCAAGAGATTTAAGGGTAGAATTCAGAGGATATGTGCACTTGCATGGGAACAAGAATTATTTTTTCTAAACTGTAAGTGGAATTTAGTATTTCTTTTGCGCATAAATACAACAATGCAGAGCTGTATCAGGCAGTGACTGTGACTCTGTCAATAACAGAAAGCAGGTATTTTCATATCTCATTAGTTGTTGCAGAGATCTCAATATAGTGTTTATGCTACTTCAAGGTCAGAGCGGTTATTAAACCTCTTGCTAGATGTGTTATTAAATGAACACATTTATTATTGTATCACACATTTATATATTTTGATAACTTACACTTCAATATAATTGGTTTTCTTTGTAATCCCATGCATTTCATTTTCTGCACTTAGAAATATTATTCTGAAAAAGGGTCCATGGTACAAAAAAGTTGAACGGATCTTGGCATTCGCTTAACATGAAATGAGACCAACGTGTGGTGATCTGACTCCAGAGAAACTTTGCCCTCTTGCCCTCTGTACTGCCAGGCTAAGAATAGAGATTACAGGTCTTTTGCACAATCCTAAAACTATAGATCTAAGAAAAGATGTTCTTTCTCAGATTGAAAATCTGTTTGGATGGAAAAGCCGTGTGACTTACTGCGTTTCAAAGGGTCCCCAGGGTAGGCTGGAAGAGTGGAGTAAATGCATTTAGATCTACTCATAAACTCACAACTAAATGCTGCAGACATTGGCTTAAGAGTTTGTCCAAGAAAAATTCATTTGTTTGTGTAGTATCTGCATAGATATCTACAGAATAGGATATGGGTTACCAAAACTGTTAGGACATACTCTGTAGTTATGAGATCCTTTCTGATAATTGGTGACAAGGACCTGTCAGAGATAAACTCATTGGAGTATTTGTTCTCTAGGAATTCCTCCTTGGTTTCTTGGTCTTGGTTCCAAGAGGAAGCAGATGGTCCTTAAATTAAGATACTCTGAGGAGATACTGTACAAAGGCATTGGTGCAGGGAGCTGTAACAGGAAGCACACTAGCTTTAGCAACCCCAGGTTAGTGGCAGCAGAGCTGACATTACCCCTTGGCCAGAAGGGAAAAGCACAGGGAACGGCAAATCAGAGGAAATTAGTGAAGGTAAGTTTGGAAGTGATGACAGAGCCAAAAGGATCGATACCCTGACCATCTGTCTCTCTCTGACCAGGACACTCCTTGACCAAACCCACTTAGAAGCCAGGAGGCAAAGGAGCTCACTGCTGTGGTCCATTCATCAGCTTCATGGGAAAGAGGGTGGAGAAAAGATGGAGGGGGAGAGATACCCAGCACATTTGACCAGTCCCTACCAGAAGACATAACACACTATTCGATGGGCCAAGAGGGCAGAACTGTAATTTTCAAATTCGTGGCTGTGCCTAATAAAATTCTGGCACACAGTAAGTGCTCAGTATTACTGAATGATTAAACTGAGAGCTGAAATGCTGCTGAAACTGAGTAAAAGCAAACAGGTGGGAACTAAGTATTCAGTTTTAGACAGTGGGCATTTAAAATATTATGGAGGGGAGATCATCTGGGTGGCTCACTTGTTAGGCTTCCAACTCTTGATTTCGGCTCAGGTCATGTCAGGACCATGAGATCAAGCCTCATGTTGGGCTCCATGCTCAGGGGAAGTCCTCTTGAGATTCTCTCCTTCTGTCTCTGCCCCGCCCACCCCCTTTGCATGCTCTAAAATAAATAAATCTTAAAAAAAAAAAGTCATGGAGGGGCACCTGGCTGGCTCAGTCAGGGGAGTGTGTGACTCCTGATCTTGGGGTTGTGGGTTTGAACCCCATGTTGGGTGGAGAGATTACTTAAAAATAAAACCTTTTAAAAAATTTAAATAAATGTTATGGAAATACAGGATTCAGCAATACATTCTGTAGATCAGGCAGATAGATAACATAGCTTTGTAATATAATTAAGTACAATTGAGCCTCATTATTCATGGATTCGGTGTTTGGATGTTTGCCTACTCTTTAAACTTTCCTGGTGTTTTCATGGTCACCTGTGGAGTGAAAATTTTGACTTGCTCAATGCATATATTCCCACTTGAGGTTGAACAAAGTACTTCAGCTCTCATAAATGAGTATCCTTTGCTCTAGTTAGTGCCACGTTTTTTGCATTTTTGTCCTTTCTTTGGTGATTTCCCTATTCAAAATGGCCCTCAGATGTAGCACTGAAGGGTGTCTAATGTTCGTAATAGGTATACAAGAAGGCTGTGACGTCCCTCATGGAGAAAATAATATGCGTTAGATGAGCTTTAGTCAAGCGTGAAGTTACAGGGCTGCTGACCCTAAGTTCAGTGTTAGTAAATCAACAAAACACAGACACCTGAAACAAGCTTATGTATTGATTAGTTGATAAAAATGTGACCAGAGGCTTGCAGAACAATAGCCCTGTATTTCCCCTAGGAGCAATGGTTCAGCATTAATTCTGTGTTAGTGGTGACTATAAAATCTAACTGCCACGAAGAACAATAATCAACTGTACTTGCTATCTTCCAGTTCCTAATAAAGATTCAAAAAAGAAAATTCAATTTACAAAAGATGGTTTTTCTATGTCAGCAACTAACTGGTACTTATAATGCAAAACCAAAGGGGGGGAGAAACATTAAAACCCATCACCACTGCATAATTTTGATGTGTTACATTAAAATTTATTAGTTTCTGAATAGTATTTGACTAAATCCAAATTATTTCAATTCAAGTTGTCTAGGCCATATAGTTGGAAAATTAAAGTTAGTGGGAGGGAAAAAGTGAAAACAATCTAATACATTGACTTTAAGAACAATTACATATGCTTTATTCTTATTACCTGGACTCAGCTGGTTAATTCAATCCTTAGTTAGGCCAATTTATATCTACTCCACAATAAATCCTACATTAACCAAAAGCTTCATGCTTCTACTTACAGTAGCATAGCAAACTTGAAGTTCCTTAAAAAAAAAAAAAAATCACCATTTCATTGACTAATGTAAACAGCTCCTCCATGCTCTGGCCTAAGAATATTTAATGTTAGCCAACAAAGACAACCAGCTATTCTTCTGAGGTGTCAGGATAGTGGCAGCCTTTTGATTTTTATAGTTGTTTAAAGTATACAACCTTGTATAGTAGAAGACACTGAGCTGAAATTTCTAACTCACTTTCTAACCATAGTAAGAATGATATTTTTCCCCAGGGACCACCAAATATATATAAAAATTTGTACTAAATTCTGTAAGAATCCACAAACATCAATGAGAAGCTGACTTTCTTGCCATGCTCCAGACGTCTTTAAGACTAGACATACTACATATATTATAAGAGCTTTAGGATAAATATTGAGTGCCTGGGTATTATCATAGTAGTAAAAGTTAAGTCATTTTTTTATTTTTGAAAAAACAATTTTGGTACCATTACCATACCCCCAAATAGGTATTAGTGCTACTGGTGATTAAGAAGCTCAGAAGCTATAATTACGCATACTCTTACTGTGGAAGTAAGCAGTAGAGCTCTGAAAATGTGAGGGGGAAAACACCCAGGCACTTAAATCAACGAACATTTGCTAGGAGGAAACTTTTAAAATGACTGTTTGCAGCCTTGACAGAGTTGCATTAACATCAAATAGCCATATTTCTGTCCACTTACAAGGAATACTATAAAGAAGCAGTCAAACCATGTTTCATAAAAGGTGTCGGTATACAGAAAATGTCTTTTTTCACAATTAGAAAAATTTAACATCTTTAGTCAAACACTAGATGGGAAACAGCCTAAAGAAAAAAAAGACCTACCCATAACACCTATTTCAACTACAAAGCAAAATGCTCTGTGACTGAAGGAAAATAATTTAATATTCATTATCATTTTATAAGAGTAGAAGTCCAAGGAAAGATATTATGCTCATAGGTAAACACAAGATTTTTCCAAAAGATTTGTAACTAAGGTATGCAAGACATAAAATCAAACTGCAAAACTAGTTCAAAGCAATTAGAGTCCAATGGTTCTCTTATGTTTTCTTTTATGTTCTTTATTTTAAATTGATATTTTAGAACAGTAAATTATCTTTCATAGCAGTGCCTCCTGGTCTGATAATATTGTACCTCCTTTCTGAACGTAGAGATTTAAGATAAATCAAAATGAACATTAAGGCATACAAACAGCTACTTTAAGTCTGCTCTTATTTAATAAGGATCTTTTTAACTCATATTCAAATACATGGAATGTTGGCACAAAACTGAAGCTGCTGTAGAAAGATCACAGATGTTCTGTGGGTTATTGAAACTTCCATTTCTCTAAAAACATACCCTTACATGGTCTTAATTTTACAAATTTAAGTGTTGAGAAAATGTCTAAATAATAAGTAACAATTAAAATAAAATGTTTATTTGTAAATTATGTACAGAATACATTTTACTTTACGACAAGGAAATGGGAAGAAGAGCCATCGCCTTCCAACCAATGCTGTTTCGCTTTCTCTGTTGGAGATGACTATCTTTCTCTGAGTCAGATGTACAAATCAGTTTGGATTTCCTAAGTTGGAAAAGGAGAATTTGTAGCTAAACTAAAAGTGTTGCTGTATTACTAGTTGGCTTGTTTCCACAAAATGCTTTTGAACCCTGCTAACTCAGAATCTTAGAAATTTCCTGGTATACTTTTATACTCAACCAAAGCTTAACCATCAAGAACAAGGAGTTTAAGCATTTCATTTTAAAGAAACTGTGAAATGGCTATATAACTATGCATAATCTGAAATGTTGGTGTTTCTTTTTTATCCGTTTTAGTTATTTTGATTAATCTAATAGTAAAAAGCCATACAACTATCAAAAATGCCATTAATCTAAATATCATTGTGGAAAATGCATCTTTGATAACTATCAAAACGAATAAGACCTACTTATTGTAAAATTATCAAATAGATACAACTTATAAATGGCTTCAGACTGTACCAATAATAATATTCTATGAAATGAAGGACTGAATATAATTGTTTGGATGTCAAATACATTTCAGCAAATGGATTTAAAGAATGCTACAAATGTGTACATTAGGATGATCAGCCAACATAGAAAATCCAACCTCTTGCACTTTTAGTCCCAAATTAGTCAGGTTATGATTTTTCATGTGAAGATTTAGTTGTTTCTCCATCATTGTCTTCTTCCTCCTCTTCACAATCCCCATCTGTTTGCTGTTCCAGTTCCTCTTTTGTGATCATTTCAAAATCATTCCCATTTCCACTACTGTGTTGGGATCGGTCATCTTCCCTCCTGTCACTGTCTGTGTCTGAATGCCGTTCTCCACCTGAGCCTTCTGTTCCATGATTCCCTGGTCCTACTTTACCCTCCTCATCTTCCTTTTTCTCACTGTCTGACTTTTCCTCACTGTCGGACTTCTGTTGCTTTTTGGTTTCAGATTTCTCATCTTTCTTGAAGTCTGCTTTTGGTCCTTTATATTCATGTGTGTACAGAGGCCTGAAGGAGTCGATGAAGCCCACGTCAGCAGTCAGGTTTGGCAAGAACCAAAAGTGGTGCCTTCCTCCAGTTATGAGCCAAATGATGAGAAACAGAATGCAACGAGCTGTAGGAAAAAAATGTCTCTAACTGAATAATTCAAGCATTGACTCAGATAACGGGGAATATTTAACAAAAAACTGAAAAAATATTCATAAAGTTTATTATTTGCACATTACATGTAACTTGAATATAAACAATTAAATCCTGGCTAGTTTATGGCAGCAACCACAGTATCCTTGGTGCAGAGCATTCTGCTCTGATCCTGAGGGCACACTTTGCTATGTCGTAGATCAATAAGCATAGCCTCAGTTGGACGTTTAAGTATGCATGAGACCACAGTATAAGAAAAAGGAAATAAATGTAGTCAGGGATGAAGGATATTTTAAGAAGCCCTTAAAAGGGAAAAAACAAGGCTGCATCATGACTTTCCTGGACTCTAGGCACTTTTGCCTTTGTGAGGCAATTCCTCCATAAAAAAATATTAAAAATTATACTCTTTATGACCATATTGGTATAAATACAAATATGCATAGGTTCATTACTATATACATGTGTACATATTACTACTTCTGATTTTAAAAGAAATGAAAATACATTTCTACAGGGCCCTAAATATGTCACGGATCCAAGGCATGTGCCTACTCTGCCTGAACGGTAAGTCTTCTAAGTAAAATTACATACTTCTGAACATACCTTTCCTGGCTACAATTTTGTTAACTAGTTATCTAATTTCTGCTTATTTAGGGGCCATTCCTCTCCTAATATTAGGAAATAATAAAACGGTAGGGCTTGAGGTTACTCTCAAAACTCAAACTCGAAACTGTGGTTAGATAATGGAAGAATTTGAGAATTTTAAAGTTTATAGTAATGAGTTTTCACAAACACAAGCCTCAGTATTTCATATAGTTTTCTCTTAATTTACCAGTTGTACAGAGCTGTGTGATTTTTCCTGTTTTTTTTTTGTTTTGTTTTTTTTAAGGTCATAATAATTATGTGAATGTTATGGACAAACAATTATGACAGATTTTGGTTTGTTTTGCTTTTCATTTTCTTTACAATTATATCACCATTTTCATGTCAGGTCTGAAAAAAGCTCAGCTATCTGTGCCTCCTCCATTAGTCTGCTTGGGATAACTAAAAGGAAATGGTTATAACTGCCTTGACTTTTATGAAGTAGTAATTACTATTTTCACAAAGAACATAAATATTCTAAAAGTCTGTACACATTATATCTTTTGAGGTACAAAGAGAAAAGGCAAATATGTTTGAAATTATGATTTAAGAATAAATTCCACTGATAAAAAGAAATAATGAATGTTTTTTAAGGAGGCCACATATTTTTTTCTTCAAATAAAATTATGATACTATGATACTCCAAATAAAATTATGATACCATGATAGACGTTGTAAGGTTATAAGACAGATGGTCCATAATTGGAAATCTTGACTCAAATCCAAAAAAAAAAAAATACAGAAATGGCACAAACTTAAATTCTCCACATATATAAACTGCAAACAGCAAAATTCCAACAGGTTTTATGTGGCATTAGATTACCAGGGGCAAACATGGAACAATCATGGGAAAACCACTGTGTATTTACTGCCATACTGCTCTTACACTAAAAAGGACACATTTAGAAAACTGTCAAAGGCCTTATACATATTCAAAGGTGCACCAAATATAATTTTGACCAATAAATAATATTTCACAGGATAATATAAAATATCCAGTTTATAAGTGGGCTACAGATGAAAACTATTTGAAAGTATATTTGGACATGTATTGCATGGAGCACTGGGTATTATACACAAACAATGAATCATGGAACACTACATCAAAAACTAATGATGTAATGTATGGTGACTAACATAACATAATAAAATAAAATTTTAAAAAAAGAAAGCATATTTGGAATTGCATTTTCTAACATAAACAAAATGTTGGGTTTGTTTTATAGTTTAATTTACAAGATTATTAATCCACAATGCATTTTTAAATTCATAGTATATTTAAAATGAAAAATGATAAAAAACACTACTAAAAAATGGTATTTTTAAAGAGCAAAATGATATAATAACTATAACTTATTGTGAATACTAGTTTAAATAAAAGATAAGTAATTCTATTCAGTAGAGTTAAATCTTCACTGAAGTTTTTCAAAGAGCTTCTAAATTTTCAGGGATTTGAGAACCTGAAGATAACCAATTTGATTCTATCTAATGTCAGATCAAAGTTTATAGCTTCTCATTCTTGATGCAGGTAGTATACTACCACTAGTTAGCTGCTTCACAATCTTAAATATAATTTCTTGGCCTACAAATGTGCTGTGTTATATGCAGAAGCATCAGGGGATTTCCTCAAGGTGACTAAGTTAGAGGAGGGAAAATATGAAAGGTGGGTGAAGAAAGCTTCACAGAGTCAGAGACCAGAGAGAGAAAAGGGAGGCCCATAAACATGATAAATTGAATGAAAATACTACATGAGCCACTGGGTCCAGGGATGGTGGCACTAACTCAGACACCCTGATGTCCAGGGTGAATGGACATGCAGAGGAAAATTGCTTAGGAATAGATGAGTAATGCTTTATAATATAGGATACTATGTATCACAGAACCTCAGAATAACATGTGCTCAGCTCGGATAATCAAAGTATGTCCTCTAACAACAGACATTAGGTCAATACTGTGATGTTGTTTTTTCTTTCTGTACAGGAAGTACTCTCTCACATCTTGGTGGAAAGTGGATTTGTCATTTGGGGAAAACAATCAGAACTTAGTACCATATGCCAATATAAACTCTACAGGGACCAAAGAATTATATATAGAAGTTTAAAAATCAATATACAACTTTAGATAAGCTGAGAAAAATTCCCATTTCTTTCTCAAAGTAAAAGTTAAATCAGACCTGCTCACCCGATATGGGAAAATCTTCAAAGACTAGGATTTTAAGTAAAATAATATTTGTTGGTTTTTTTCACAGTTTAAGTAACATACTCATTGTAAAAAATACAGACAAGTATAAAGAACAACCTTAAAAGTATTCACAACTATCACCACTATTTATATTTAGGTGTATTTCCTTCTAGTCAAACCCTCCCTGGCATTGAGTATTTCCATTTAAAACAAAAACAAAAACAAAAAAACTTCCTAATTAAACAGGCAAAAAACTACTTCATTATCTTAATTTTATTGTTTGATTACTGGTGATGAGAATTTTTCATGTATTTATTAATCATTTGTTTTTTAATTTCCTCATTTGAAGTGAGTTATTTTTATATTGGTTTGTTTTTAGCTATAAAGACCCTATTCATCCAGAAGTGTAAAAAAACATTACTTATGTTTTGTTTGATTTTTAAAAACCATTTTAAAACCCCTTAATGCATCTAGAATTTATTTTGGTATACGGGTGCAAAATTTTTCCCCAAATGGCAAATCAATTGTTTAGAATCATTTATTGAAAACACACATAGAACTTAAACATTTAATACAAGTTTCATTTGTCTTAAGTCAATATATAAAAATGCTTTACCTAAAGTATTGCGCCTCATAAATGATCAACCCCTGTAAAAATATTAAAGTCTTTGTGGTGGCTAAACTTTTAAAACAGATCTACATGCAGATTAAGAGACATTAAATACTTTTTCTTCACAATAGACCAAATTGAATTAGGTACATATTCTATTTCAAACTTGAGTCAGTTTTGGGATATGACCCAAAAAGTAGGTCCATATACTTCATTTGTCTACATTAGCTTTGCTATTAAACTTTACTTGAAGCTCCAGACTGCAGTCCCAACTGCTTGGTATCTACCTTACTAAGGTCAAATTTACTGATAACAATACTTACCAACAGCAAGAAGAAGAATGCTGGCTACAAAACAGCCTGCACCCACACTGAGGTAATAAACACCTACTCTCATTTCTGCTGGCCAAAGAGGGAAGAGGGTGGCTGCTATCACTGCAATCACTAGAACGAGAAATGACAAAGTTACACAGATAACTCTGAGATTAAAATTTTAAATGGCGTGGTTGCAATAACAGAGAGTATTTTCCTAGGGGGTAGAACTGAAATGCAAACATACTGAAACATAAAAAATTGCCATTTTTATAGGTAAAAAATGGTAAATTACTAGCCATTTCACATAGTTCAACTTAACATTTTCACTATTGATTTTAGGTTAGGATTTTTTCTAGTACAAATTACATATGATTAGAAAAAAGTGCCTAAAAATGTGAAATTGTTAGCTCCTTAAATGATCGACTGCTACTGTTTTCAAGCAATGTCTGTATTATTTTTCGAATATATCTGCCTACTGAATAGGGCAGCTTAAAGAAACAATCACCAAACAACACTAACTAAAAAATGATTCCGAAGATCCCTCCCTCAGGGCGGGGTGAGTCTGAGGTGCAGCTTTGACATTTACAGACTGAAAAGCTCAGCAGGTGATTCTGATAGTTTTTTGGTAGTTAGGGAAACTGGATACAAACATCTCCAGTTTTTTTCCAAGTACCATGGGACCACATGGAATAATCAGAAGAAATCGGAAGTCTGGTTTTAGGTCTTGAGAGCAACAGAGACCAGGATTCAAATTCTAGTTCTATCATTTTTAAGCTAAGTAACCCTGGGCAAGTTATTTAACCCCTTCAAGGCTAAGTTACTTTATATTTAATATGTGCCTCTTCCTCTTTTTTAAAGGTTGTCGTGAGGATGAAATGAAACAATGCATGTAAAATATTCAGCGAAGTGACTAGTACATAGTAAGTGATCAACAGTTATTAGCAATTCGGGTAGTATTTAATGGAATTATTTTGAATGGGATCCTATGCTATCATATTGATCATGCTTATTATTTGACTATTTTTTTCTACTTGTTAAATACCCTCCTTCCCAGGCTCCCACCTTGAACTTATAGGAATAACACACACCCATGGTAAGAAAAACAATCCAAAGGTATAAAGTGAAGTCTTCATCCAATTATTGGTCTACCCCCAGAGATTACTACTATTATGTTTCTAATTTATACAACCAGAGACTGCCTATGTATAATTAAAACTAGCTACATGGGATATTTTTTCTACAAAAATGAGCTTATATTCTTCTTACATTTATAATTTTTTTTCATTTAATCTATTTTAGATATTTTTCCATCAGTATATCCTACCTAATTCTTAAAAGCTGCATGGTATTCTAGTGTGCAGTTGTGCTATAATTTATTTCACCATTCTCCTATGCAGGAACTTGAATTGTTTCCAGTTTTATTCTATTACAGACAACAGTGCAACAAATACCAAAGTACTGTACATCTGTGCAACTGTAATTAGGGTAGTATACATAGGATATTCATAGGATAAATTTCTTGAAGTATAATTGTTAGGTCAAAAGGTATAGACATTTAAAATTTAAAAGATAATTGCTAATTACCCTATATAGTCTGAGGGACTTGGATTAGAATAATTAGAATATGTGTCAGTGAGGGGCGCCTGGGTGGCTCAGTTGGTTAGGCGGCTGCCTTTGGCTCGGGTCATGATCCCAGGGTCCTGGAGCTGCATGGAGCCCTGCACAGAGCCCCGCATGGGGGACCTGGGGAGTCTGTTTCTTGCTCTCCCTCTACCCACCCCCCTACCCTGGTCAAGTGTATGAGCTCTCTCTCAAATAAATACAATCTTAAAAAAAAAAAAAAGAATAATGTGTCAATGAACATTTTTGAATAGATACTTTGTATAACTGTATTAAGAACAGTCATGGGATAAATTCCTAGAAGCAGCACAGCTGCTTAGTGTCTGTGCATTTAAAATCTGAAAGACATCAGCAAAATGTTCTCCATAAAAACTAAAACAATGGACATACAATCAACTGTTGGAGAGCGTTGGTTTTTTGTTAAGTGTTGGACCTTCACTAAGACTCAGTGCTATCAAACTTTGTAATCCTCTTAATCATGGTTGCTTTAATGTATATTTATTATGTGTGATTACGTTTTGTTCATGATTATTGATCACTGTATTTTTTTTTCTGTGGGCTACCTTTACTGTTTTTCTACGGGGTTGTTAATCTCTTAATTTTTGCTTTCATGTCTTGTAACTATTTTCCTCAGCTTATCATTTATCTTCTGACTTTATTTAAAGTACACCTCTTTTAAAATAACTATTTTATGTTGAATATTTTTCTTTATGGCTTTTGTATTTTTATTTTCCTTTCTAAATTTTAGAGATTGTACTTACCAAGAATTAATCCCATGACAAACGTTTTAAAGTGAACTGGGTCATAGATCCACACAAATACCTACAAAAATCAAGAAACCTCAGTGCTTAAGGTTACATTAGAAAGTTAAGCTTAATTCTATATCCTCTACTACAGTTGCTTTCAACTTCTTAACATATAAGAACTACTTCCTAAGGTAAACAAATTTCTAAGACCCTTCCTTCAGTAGTAGGGTTTCTTTAGGTATTCATTTAGTTAGAAAATTATTTTCAAAATTATAACTTCTGTAATACACTTAAGTAAATTTCCACATACTTACATGAACTTAACAATTTGTTCATGTGTGCCAACCATTACTTATTCTCAACCCAAAGACTAGCAACTGTACAACTTTTTGTCCCTAATGTAATGGTACAGTTGTATAAGTAGAAGCAGTCTGGGCTAAGAGCACAGTTAAGATAGATCCAGCCAGGCCCTATTACAGATCCAGCAGCAATCAACTCTACCTTGTTGACTCCCATCAATGAAATGCAAAGAATCATTAATGAAGTTCATGCTTACTGAACATAAAGATTCTATGACTATCTGCCATAATTACACTGCCTACTCCCTTGGGGAGGGTCTATAGCCTGTAAGTTGGGAACCACTGCTTTAAAGCTTGATTTACTTTTACACGAGAGAAGTTTACTTCATTTAGAACAATCAGAACTCTGCTCAATCCCCATCTAAAACTCCTAGTTTTATCTTAGTTTCTATAAATATCAGTACTCTTCCATTTCCTGATTTTATTTTGACCAGAGTTCTTTGTTATTGTCTTTTTGACTTGGTTCTACTTCTAACACAAGGGATTCCACTCCTCTTTTTTAACTGCACATTTCCCCTGGAAATCAGATCCACAGACCTCACTTCTGCCAGTTAGCATTCTAAAAACCAAGATTTTAAAGACATTTCCCAGCTTTAAAAGTTTGAAAGCATGTTGCTTTCTACAGAATAAAATATAGTCTTTTCAAGAACGCAAGCACCCCTGCTTTTGCTCAGGCTGCTTCCTTCACCTAATAGATCTGTAACTTCTTCCCAGTGTACCTGGTAATCTGCCAGTCATCCTTCAAAGCTCAGCTCAAGTGTTCAAGGTCTCCAGACTCTCCTTATCCTGTCTTGATTAAACTTAATATTCTTAATTGATGTTCTCAAATCGTAACACTCACCACACTGTGATACAGTAATGTGTAAAAGCTTGTATCTTTGCTAGAGTATAAAGCACTTCCAAGAAAAGAATTTATCTTATTTATCATGCTATTCCGAGCACCTATAAAAATGTCTTTGCATACAGCTCATGCTTGATGTTTAAATGAAGGTATTTGACCTTTCACATTAGGGAAGACCCGTGGTCTTCTATTACAGTGGTTCTTAACCAGGGGTTCACATCAGAATCACCCTGGAACATATTATACAACACACACACACATACAGCACACACACACACACACACACACACCCTTAGATTCTGAACTATAGATTCTCATGCAAGTATGTCTGGAATGAGCCAAGAGCACGTATTTTCTGAAAAGCCTTCCCAGAATTTCAAACTCATAGCTCTAGGAACCACTACTTTATATATACTACTTTTATATTAAGTATAACAGAAAAAATAGGTCTTGAAATCCACAAGAACTCAATGGCCAGTATATAACTCATGTTTTTGTATTGGTTAAATGACTAAGCAATCTTCATGGAAGGCTACCATCACACAAATCTCCCATTACAAAAGAAATAAAAACAATTTCCTTGAGTAAAGCATCAAGTAATGCTGAAAATTTTAGGCCCCTAGTGTGTCTGATTATAAGAGGCACAAAACTGTAGGTGTTCTCCATTAACCCTTCTACCCATTTTTCTTTGATTGTAAAGGAAATACTGCATTTTAGCTGGGCAAATGACCACCAGTATAAAAAGCACATTTCTAAGACTTTACTGCAGGTAGGCCACGACCATGTGACTAAGTTTTGGCCACTGGAATCCACACAGAAATGCAACTGCTAGCTTCCTGGAAGGTGTCCTTAAAGAGGAGGCATGTCCCTCATTCTCCTTTCCTCCTTTGGATGCAGCTATGAGGCTGGCAGTCATTTTGGACCATAAGGTAACCTTTACTAATTGCCTCAAATAGCTCCACCATAGAGCTGCCAGATCTGTACTATTTACCTTCAGACTTCACTGATTAGAGAGAAACAAGCATCTACTTTAAGTCACTGTTATTTCAGATTTCCTATCACTCATAGACAGCTAAACCTAATTCTGACTAATTTTCTTATACATTTTTTGTAATTCTAAATTCAGAGAAATTACTGATTTTTTTTTTAAAGAGTAGTAGCTACATGGTTAGATTTACCAAAAGTACTTCTTTTCTTAGTAAAGTTACCAAAGATAATTCTAAAAACTCCTATGGAAAACTGGATTTCTATTTATAAGCTAGATACTCTCACCTCATTTCCATCCAGAAAAACTTGATCATCATGTGGCTCAAGTTTGAATTTTTTCTTAGTTTCCTTCTTTTTGGGAGTTCCTGGAGTTTCCTCCTATTAAAACACAAGTTAGACAGAAGAAAAAAACACTTACAAAAAGCAAAAAACAGTAAGACATTCACAAAGTCAAAAAAAGTTTCACTTTTGAGACACAGAGATAAAAATTCTCAACCATGGTATTTATAAGAACCCTAATATAGTTATCTTTTAAGTGCTTGTTGCACAGCATTTCAAAAGTGCTCATATGCCAGTGATCATAGGCACATAATAATTTATTTTTACTTAAATGTAGCTGAAATCACCTTTTTGGGTTCTTCCTTTTCGCCATCTTTTTTTTTTTCTTTTTCTTTTTTCGTCTTTTCATCCTTTAGATTTTCTTTCCTGCTCTTTTTATCTTCTTCTTTTCCACTTTCGGCCTTTCCTTTCTCTTTTTCTTTTTTTATGTCTTTATCATACTTCATTTTCATTACTTTTAGTGCCCGGTGAAAAAACTGCTTCTTTAAAAGCCTATGGAAAAAATGGTATGACATTCCGTTCCTTACCAACTATACAGATACAGACTGAAAAGAAAAAAACACCAAACCCAAATAAAATGAGCAAAGACTACATTGGTAACTCACAAAAGAAATTACAACTAGTAAATCAATGGAAAAATAGTCAACTCCACCTCTAAAAAAAAAAAAACCCCGTACTGCCAATGTGATTATATAAAATTTTTGTCAATCTAATTTTCATCATTTTTCAACTATATAATTTAGATATAACAGATTATAGGCTTGGAATTATCCTTATGAAACTTTTCTCTGAATTCATAAGAGTAAATCAAGATTCTGTTTTATTTAATGTTAAGTCTCAAATTCAAGAGCAGACATAAGAAAGGGGAAATTCAACAGTTTAAGAAATGTTAGCAGATTAAAAATGTGCCCATGATTTGACTGATCTAAATCATGTCTTCAGCTGTCTTTCTTGATGTTCCCTCACTTCCTTCAAGTCTTCCCTCAAATGTTACCTTCTCAACTAGTCCTATCCTGTTTAAAATTACAAACCCACCCCAGCCCTCCCTCTTGTTTCCTCTTATCCTATCCATAGCATTTATCTTCTAACTTAACATACAATTTATGTCTGTCTGCCCCCTTCACTAGACTATAAACTACTTAGGAGATCTTTGCTTTATTCATTATCTGATAAACTTAGAAGACCCAAAATTAAGTCAATCTAGGTGGTAGTTCCTTTCTAACCTCATAATCCTACTCAAGAAACTGGGTTGCCCTTACCTTTGTTACCTAAAAGCCATCCTTTCAAATCTTATGTTCCAATTTCAGAGTTCTTGGTTTGTTCCTTCATTCCTTCCTTGATAATGTACAACTACCAAAACACAACCTATAAGCTAGGTCTTATTGCCACTATTTGTGCCTGTTGACTACCCACCTTTCTACCTCCACTAATACCTGCTCCAACACATCATACCACTTGTTAAGTTTATGCTTCCTTCCAGCCCAGTGACCACTTATTTCTGGTCATTATGCTGTGCCCTCTGAGGCATCTGTGTTTTCAACTGCCTGGTTGGGCTTTATTCTGCTACCCAATTAGGTCCACCCCATGAACATCTCTACAAAACTAACTTTTAGGTCTTCTCATTTGGACTTCTACTTGTTCAAAAGATCTGTATAGCATAAAATTGTGCAACTGTCTGAAATGTCCCCAAAACTCTACCATTAATGCCTATTACCCAGGTGCAACTGACCCTTGAACAACACGTTTGAACCACGCACATCTATTTACATGTGGTTTGTTTTTTTGATAGATACAGTATGCACTGTAAATGCATTTCTCTTTCCCATGATTTCCTTTTTTTTTTTTTTTTTAAAGATTTAATTTATTTGAGAGAGAGAGACAAAGCAAGAGAAGGAACACAAGCAGGGGGAGTGGGAGAGGGAGAAGCAGGCTTCCCACCGAGCAGGGAGCCTGATATGGGACTCGATCTCAGGACCCCAGGATCATGACCTGAGCCAAAGGCAGATGCTTCAGCGACTGAGCCACCCAGGTGCCCCCCATGTTTTCCTTAATAACATTTTCTTTTCTCTAGCTTACTTTATTGTAAGAATACAGCATATAAGACATGTAACATACAAAATATGTGTTAGTCAACTGTTTGTGTTATCAGTAAGGCTTCCGGTCAACAGTAGGCTATTAGTAGTTAAGTTGTGGAAGAGTTGAAAATATGGATTTTTGACTGTGTGGGGGTTGACATGTTCAAGGGTCAACTGCAGACTATTAACCAGTCAAACTGGTGTTGAAAAGTTCACATTCAGGTACATGAGTTCAAATACCATGTCTACCACTTAACTAACTGTGTGGGTTTGGGTAAATTACTTAATTTTAGTAAAATTTCTAAAATGGGGTATCTACCTCGCAGGGGTTTCTAGGACTAAATGAGAAGCACACAGATTGTTTATAGCATGGTGCCTGGAATATATGTACTCAAAGTTAGCATTATTATTGCTATAGCAAAATCTTAATTTTGTTTAATAGTTATGGAATACACACACACACAAACACACACACACTTTGGTTTCATATTATTACATTACAGCATCAATCTATTCAGTAATAAGTAAAATTATTGACTTATTCCTTGGTAGGTCTTTAGAGAATGCCTAATTCAACTCACTCTATGGCTGGAAAAGTGAGATGATATTTACTATTATAATAAAATCAGTGTCTCCATTTATTTAACACATCATATAGTACAAATCACTCAACAAAGCTCTCTTACATTTTCACAGAACTACTTCCTTCTCCCAGTGTGTTCTGTCCCCTTTGCCAGGATTGACTGTCTTTTCTCCCATTGTTTCCCAAGTAATCACCTATTTATGTTTCAAAATTTGATTAAACATTTTCCCTGTGAAGCCATTCTTGAAGTTTTCTCATCCCTGTCCTCCTTACAGAACGCAATGCACTGTAATTAGTCATAACTCTTCTCTAATAAGCTAGAATATGTACTTTGGGGATGGAGACCAAGTCACAGTCATCTCTGTATTCTTGGGGCTTGGAATACAATAGATATTTGATAAATTTAAACGGATTGTTAAAAGCATCTTGTACAAAATTATTAAATTGCTTATATTTTTTCTCACCTCGTACTTTTTTTTTTCAGGTTTTATAAACATTTATTGAAGTCAGACATGTGTTTAAGACTTTCACCTATGTGGCAATGGTGAGGTTTTATTAAGTGGTATATGAATGAGAGTGAGAAGGACATTACTGGACTAGTGGGTTGGAGATGCAAAGTCACATGGAGTTAGAATGGTGCTAGATCAAAGGTTCATACTCAAATTAGGCCATTAAGAGGCACAGAGCATATTAGAAAAGGCTGCTTTGTACCATCCTACACTTTCCTGCTTTCTTTTTTCTTCAGACTCCCTCAAGTCCACTTATCAGTTTTATAAAATGAGACTAGACAAATGTCCCTTCCTGGGTTTGTTTGTAGTCAGGCTGGAACCCATGAGGGCTGGCCATGCTTGTTATCAGAAGTGGCTCTGAAGAACTTAGGTGGTTATGCTTCTCTATTTTAGTGCAGAAAGGACACAAACAACCTGACATGAATGGGAATAACATATACAATGAAAAGTGAGTGTATCTCTAGGTCTTTAGGGCTTTTCATAGAACACGGTATGAAGGTTCCTAAAATGACAAGAGATGTGGGTTAATACTGGCTGCTCTGTCTGGGTTCACAGATTTAATATTCAAATAGTATTCACAGACGAATCCTTCATCTTAGTTTTTGTTTCATTAAATGCATCCTCATTTTGTTGGAGGAGATAGTATACCACAGTGGTTAAGAGCATGGACTATGGAGTTTGAGTGCTGGATTTAGAATTCTGGCTCTACCACTTACTAGCTGTGTGACCTTGGGTAAATTACCTAACTTCTCTGTTTTTGCATGTATAGCATCTCTTAATTTTCACACCATATATACAAAATAAATCTACTTTGAGGCAGGCAGGGAAATTTGCACTTTGGAGTTCTACATAAATGGCTGTAGAGAAAAATGCCAGCTATACCACTGTTAGCTCATTCCTGCCCCACCAGTGAAACTTCCATTGTTTTTGAAAGGTCCAATAGTGACTTTAGTTTTTGGCAATTAAGAATTTTAAGAAATATTTGATAATTCTTTAACTTCACAGTTTTAAAACCAGGTTGTGAAACAGTGGTTTTTAAATGGGTCTCATCTGACTGATACTTTAAATGCCATTAAACAATACATTAGTAAATACTTTGTGTATCTCACTACCAAGGCTATAAAATAATTTGAAATGTTAAATTCCTACTGATTATAAACTTCAGTTTTGATGTTTCCCAAAGTACCAATTATGAAAAACATGGACCTGTTACTGAACTATCGATACTTCACCACGGAATCAAGAAAAGGCAGATGTTGTAGTTGCCTTGATTTTACCAGTAAAACATGAGCAATCACTGAACAAAATAAGGAAGGGTACCTGACTAATAACCCCGTGTAGGCACAAAAATAACCAACCAACCAACCGAGGGATAATAGGTCTATTAAGAATTCCTGCCAAAGTTCTGGAAAAGACTCCTTAGCCATTTGCCCTAGAAAAGAATTTTTTGGTTACTTTTGGCACTGGTATATGATTTTTATTGCTGATCTTTCAGTTCAGTCAGCCTGGCAAATGTACAAACATAATAGAACACAAATTAAAATTATGAAAATATATCTAACACCAAATAAATGCCATTTCCAGAGGTATTGAAAAAATCCAGGTTGCATGTAAAAGTTCTATTTGAGCTATGCTGTAATATCACTAGATTTAATAATAAAAATGGGTAAGGAGCTTCTGGACTATGGCGAGTATTTTGATATTACTATTTATGTTATCCGTCACTAAGAAATAAACACTACCTGTTGCAGTAGTCAACCACAGACTCCCTCGTTGTAAATAAAGCTTCCTCTCCTTTCTTGGCCTTTGCCCACTTTGAATCCAAAAGACAATCCACTGCTTTTGAAGCTGAAGAAGAAATTTGTCATTTTAAATTTAGTATACATGGGAATTTATGTCTGTCTAAATAATAATTTATAAGACAAATATCAACATTCTGGCATCAGAAAATAAAACCAAATCCAGAGGAAAATGAGTTGGACATGATTACGATAAATAAACAGTTCCTTAAAACCTCAATTTATGGGTGCCTGGGTGGCTCAGTTGGTTGGGCGACTGCCTTCGGCTCAGGTCATGATCCTGGAGTCCCTGGATTGAGTCCCGCATGGGCTCCCTGCTTGGCAGGGAGTCTGCTTCTCCCTCTGACCCTCCCAACCCTCCCCCTCTCATGTGCTCTCTCTCTCAAATAAATAAATAAAATCTTTAAAAAAAAAAACAAAAAACCTCAATTTATGAAACATAGCAATAAGGGTCTTTTTAAAGTAATGCTGGGAAATAACTGACATTCAAAAATATTAAGTAAAATGTTATGGGAAAATGTTCTAAACAAAAACATTTAAAATAAATATAAGTATCACTCTTAATCAAATAATCACAATTAAATGTAGGCTAAACAAACCAAAAAACTTCCTCTCCCATGGTAATGGAAATTCTGTTATCAAGCTTTACTGTTACCCACTGAGAAATAAGCTCTGTGAAAAATCTACTGCTACCACCAGAAGAAGCTAAATATATTAGATCGGAAGAGGATGGCATTTATTTTTATTTTTAATGAACATCAAAATCATTAATTGTAACACTAAAGAAAGGGAAGATAACAAAATTTCTTCTTTGTAATGGCAATTCAATTTTAATCAATGAGACAGGCAAACTCAACCATTTAGTGGTTAGTGGTTGAGTTATGGGGCTATACTGTAGATGACATTAGCTTATAGTAATGTTCTTTGGATGATGTGAAGAACCAAAGCTCCCACATTAGTTCCAAAAGACTTGTTTCACACTGAATTCTACTCCAGAGGTTTTTTTTTTTTATTTTTTTATTTTTTTAAAGATTTTATTTATTTATTTGACAGAGAGAGAGATCGCTAGAGCAGGAACACAAGCAGGGGGAGTGGGAGAGGGAGAGGCAGGCTTCCCGCTGAGCAGGGAGCCCGATGCGGGACTCGATCCCAGGACCCCAGGACCACGACCCGAGCCGAAGGCAGACGCCCAACGACTGAGCCACCCAGGCGCCCCTACTCCAGAGTTTTAAAGAAAGATTATTTTCAAGTACATATACTATCTGAACAAAAGGTAGTATTAATACTGAAAATAAATCTTATTTTTAAAATTTGCAACAAATGGTATTACAAAGCACTTTCTTTTACCTTTTTTTTTTTAAGAGGGAGAGAGCAGGGGAGGGTCAGAGGGAGAGGGACAGAATCTTAAGCAGGCTCCATGCCCAGTGAGGAGCCTATGCAGGGCTTGATCTCACAACCCTGAGATCATGAACTGAGCTCCATCAGGAGTTGGACAGTTAATTGACTGAGCCACCCAGGTGCCCCTTTTATCTTTTGCTATTGACATTTCCAATCATAAAAGGAAAGAACAGAATAATCAATTGTCATATGCCCATCACCCAGCTTCATCAAGCATACTTGGAAAGCACTTTTAAAACATCTACAAAACTGAAATTTAATTATCTTCATAAAATATGTACACTAGTATCATTTTACTGATATAATCCTACCAATAAAATAATCAACTCGGTGCCCCATCATATTGGTGGACTTTGTTGGACAGTTGAATCGAAGATACTTGGCTACAGCCTTCTCTTCTTTAGATGGTTCACCAACTTCCTGCAAAATAAGAATATTTAATATAATCATTTACTTCACAAATTCACGCACTGAATTTACAGATGTGTTTGGCAAATCTTTTAAAGTGAAGTATAAGCCTTTCTTTCAAGCTTTCTATGGAGCAGACCTTGTAATGTATACAAAAGACAGAATAGAGATTTTTAAAATTACATGTGTTTTAAAATACATGTTGATAGGGTCAAAACCTGCCTCTTTGCCTCAGCTACAAGGCGTTTATTTATTTTGAGTTGTTTTTCCAGTATGGTAACTACTTTGTACTAGTTCACCTTCACTCTTGCCTGATCTCTTTATAAGCCACAAAGCAATAATTTAAAAGATTAAGAAGTTGCCAATAGTGAGTGCCCAAATGTCAAAAGTAAGTAGAAACAGGTGCCATAAATAAATATTAAGTAATAGTCAAAGCTATGAACCCTGAACAATGGACAAAAGACTGTAGGAGGAATTCTCAGATTAACCAAAGAGAGCTGTCTCAGTGTGGGAGCCATAAGACTATTTGAGACTCTTTTCTCACCTTGTCTTTCTTCTTTTCTTCCCTAGTAGGGGTGAGGCAAAAATAAAAATGCAATAAACAGATAAATTATAATCTAATTTAACTCATTAATGGAAGTACACAAAGAGTTTGGAAAGGCTGCTTTAATCCTTCCCTGTTTGCTTTCTTCCATTCCTTTCTCCAAATTTTCTATTATTTTCTTCATTGTTTATCATTTCCTATCTTCCTTTTATTTCCTTACATTCTGAACTACTCCACCCAAATACTGAAGAAAATGAAGGCAGTCTACATTTGTATACATCTTCAACTTGTATAAGTTGTCTTATTGCTATAAGCTACTGTAACAAAAGTACTGTCTTTAATTTCATGTTTAAGAATGATACATACTCAAGCACTACTTCCAGCAATGTATTATCTAAATGTGAATGATTTCAGGAAGGTCTGTTTCTTAACTAAACGAAGTGCCAAATATTAGTAAAGAATTATCTGCCAAGAATCTAGGATGCTGAAAACAATTAATGCTACTAAAGACAGTTATGTTTTAGACAAGACATTCTAATAACACAAAATAGAAAAAAATGATCTACTCAAATCATCTGTCTTTACGTCAGTTTTCCTACAAATTTTAGATAAGTCTGAATTCAGTTATGTTTGATGAAAATGAGGAAACAAAAAACCAAGCTTCCAGCTTCAATTTTATCCTGAAAAGGAATAATTTGTTGAAGTGAAAGCCTGTGCTTTGGTTGTTAAATCACCTGGTAGCTACTTCTCCTATTTCTTCCTCTGCATTTTCCAACTCCTCTACTTCCAATTGCCCAATTAATAGTGCATGATTCTTATACTCTGCTAGTAACCCATTTCGGGGTTATATGTGGCAATAAAAATTAAAAGCTCAAACCATTCAATCCAAATGAAGACTACAGTAAAAACCAAATATCTGTGTGAATAAAAAGCCTTTAGTTTTATATAAAAAATATGTATCACAGAAAAATAAAATCTTAAAAATTTACAAATGCAAAATTAACACTATTAACAAAATTAATTAACAAAATGTTACACTCCAAGTTCACTAACAGCTACAAGGTTCATAATGATTTGGAGCTTAGCCACAAAATATACTTTCTGACAAACTAAAGGGTGAAAAGTCTGTATTTCAATTTTTGAAATCACACTAAAGTATATTGATATGTATTAATATCATGTTAAATGGTAGTATTTAATTGTGCTTGTACAATACAATGCATTTCTAGGAGGCTCATCTATTAGTAAATAATATCCCATATATTCATGGTACAGCCAAAAAAGTAATACTATAAATAGTTGAAAATAATGTGATACTATAAATTAGCTTATGGAAACAATTCTATTTTATAATCACACCCACATATGCTCAATTTTTTTCTCATTTGATAGATCTGTTGTCAAGTTTTATGTAATTAATAAGTTGTTACTGGGATATGCTTGATTGAAAATGACCACGTGACATAAGTCTAAATAAACATAAATTGTTCAAATACATACTTACTGTGTGTATACCTTAGAATACCTCTGGGTGTTTCAGTTAATACCAAAATTTGTAAGGTGTGATAACTATATTACAACTATCCAAAATAGCAATTGCTATTTTCCAGAAACATATATTTTACAAGCACATCAACTTTATATGTGACAAGTTTATACTCATACTAGCACTCAAACTATTTACTAAAGAGAGGTATAAATGTACTAATCTAATGATTTTTTGACAGAGGCATCACATGTAAAATCTGATATAAGGATACACAAGAAATGCAAAAGTTCATTCTATTATTATACAGTATATGCAAAAGTTCATTCTATTATTATACAGTAGGGAATCTGATTCTACATGAATCCACAACACTTTTAAACCTCATTTTAACAATTAACTTCAAGTTCACCAAAGTCTTCAAACAACCTCAAGACAGACTCAAGTAATCTATTTTTATTCCTTTCCCCTCCTTGGTAAAGGTACTACTAAATAACAATGAACAGAAGAGACCCAGAAAACATGGACTTAGATAATCTTTCCCAAGTAGACACAGTTACTTATACATTGATACTTTTTTAAAGTATCAAACTTCCTTTGAAAATGACAAGAAAAGTAATGAAGTCTATCAAGATATTGGTATAACAGAACTGATAACCTTCCTTGATCCTTAATAAGTTTCTATTTTCTTTTGTGAATTATGAAATGTTCATTATATCACATATAAGTTATACATATTGTAGAATGCCTTTAGGTGAAAAGTATAGAATTTGTGCCATCTGCTGGGGCTCTGAAGACAGAAAGAAGGATTGCTATAAAAGACTACCAAGAGGGGCGCCTGGGTGGCTTAGTCGGTTAAGTGTCTGCCTTCGGCTCAGGTCATGATCCCAGGGTCCTGGGATCAAGCCCCGCATCCCTGCTCCGCAGGAAGCCTGCTTCTCCCTCTCCCACTCCCCCTGCTTGTGTTCCCTCTCTCGCTGTGTCTCTCTCTGTCAAAGAAATAAATAAAATCTTAAAAAAAAAAAAAAAGACTACCAAGAGAACATGACCGTGGGAAGCTGGTTAGGTAGAAGATCTTGCCATGGAGTCTTCACTCTCACTGCTCCCCTGCTGCAGCCTAAAGAGTATAAAACAGTCTTATCCTCTTCCTGTTTATACATTAGACTATAGTACTTCCCTTCTTTGTTCCCTTTTGATGTGAACAAATCTTCAGAATATTTTCATAACTTTTCTAGAAACCTTCTAACAAGAAGTGAAGGCCTTTGGGAATAGCATCAACCACTAATAAAGAGAAGCCAGCTCATCAACCCTCAAATGAAAAGAACTTCATAGCTCAATCAGTGAGCTCAAATGTCTTAGAAAGAGAAAGCAAAGAAAGAGCCAATAGGTTTTGAGGCTGGACTGCCATCTTTGCACCCAAATACCAAAATGCTGGCTGTCACAACTCACAATCCAAAATCATATAAGTTGAAAGTTTGGTTAGAACATTCTTTTTAAGTTCCTTAACAAGTACTATTTTTACTGTAGATCAAGATGCAAATACAATAATGAAATAGGGGTGTTACCATTTTTAACTATATATTATTTTAGCCAGTACCTATGATAACCTTTTTGGGAAAAAATATTAAAGAGTCAATAAGCCAGTCTTCAATCTTACAGAATTTTTTAAATTGCTATATTCAATAGAAATAAGCTTGGTTGCTTTGTCGAGTGAAGGAAGCAAAAAAGAAAAAGATTAGTTCACAAATCATAAATTTGTATCTTCATACAAGCAGTATAAAATATTTGTGAAATGCAAATAGATTAACAGTAAAATCTGAAAGTTGGAGGGGACCTTAGATAAATCATTTGCTTAAAGTCACACAGCATATTACTAATAAAGCTTTTCAAGAGTCTCTGTATCTTGACTATGACAGTGCCCTTCTGTAAATACCCCACTGTTTCACTCCTATTGCAAGCCCTTCATTAAGCCTCTGGGGGAGTTTTCAGACTTAGGACTGGCTTCTTGGGTTCCTTCTATTTTCTTCAGAAGGTCTGAGAGAGTCAGATTGTATGGTCACAAACTTTCTCTTTCCTTCCCTTTTCTGAAATTAAGCATCAAGGCCCAGGATATGTCAGGGTTTTACTGCCAGGCAGACAGATGGGTGCAATAAAATTAACTGAGATGAAGATTATAAAAGTTCTAAGAATTAGTAAGCCATTTAAATGTCCCAAAACTCAACTGAATACACGTAAGCAGAATACTAAATGGGATGTTTCTCTCTTTAGCAGGGACAAGTTATGTTAAAACTTTATGTTATATAATTTAATATAAAAATTTTAGGATTAAAGCATTTCGGAACAATTTATTTTTATTTTATCACTGGGGAGGTGGAAAGAACACTCAATTGGGAATTAGAAGACTTGGTCTAAGTCTGGTTTTACTACCTTGACGAGTGACCCTGGATCAAATCACATAACCTCACTGAACCTTAGTTTATCTATAAAATGATGGTGACATATTAGATCAATAAGTTTTATACCTAGCAAACTTTTAGATGTTGGTCCTAAAAACAGCTTAAAGGACCATGAGGTATGGGATGATGGTAGTGGGGTACTGAGGTGACAGGGCTTTGGGCCAATCATTCTGCATTTGTGCAAAAGGATTCCAAACAAATTCTATTATCTGAAAATCCTTCTCAACTCTAAAATTTCATGATACCAGCATTCCAAACCAGTAAGCACTTTGTTAGCCAACAAGCACATACTGTATATTCTTAAAAACTTACATAATTCATTTCTTAAATCTTAAAATTATTTATTATTTTCAAATGGTCCATTAATTTGATTGACATCATTCTCATTCTCATTTTGAGAATCTCAATCATTAAAATTTCCTATTATAACGTTAATAAACATGTAGCACACTTCCAGTTTTCAGTGATCAGTAAAGTGAATCCAAGAAGAAAATGTGACAAAATAGTCCCCTTCCTTCCAACTTTGATGGGATATCAGAATCTGAAATTATGTAACACTAGAAAAAGCAAATAAATTAGCTACTTTTCCAAACCCTGAAATTGTATCAATCATTTCTCCCAATGTACAAATTACAATTCAAGGTCACTTGAACCTATTAAACATAAAAATCTTTTCTAAACATGAAACATCAAGTAACAAACAACAGGAAATTCAGTTGATATTACAGACTTTTTTGCCCAAAGTCTTACAATAGAATCTCTTCTGTAACTTAAACTCTGAACTTTGTCATTACATTTGATCTTTTTGTCTAAAGCGATGCCAATATTATAGTTTCTGATTTGGGACGGGGTGGGTGGAGAGAAACCCAAGGATGTTATATTTTACATTTTTATTAATTTGTTAAACACTGCATAGTAGTACTCCAAATAGCACTCCCAAGATCTCCACAACATTCTAGCGCAGCTATGTATAAACTTCCAGGATGGAAAAAAACAAATGTTATATATTTTCATTTAGCAATATGTCAAGCTGATTTTTAACAATAAGATCCTCACGTATTTATCTGATCCTCAAATAAACAATATTAGGTAAATAGCTATACTTTATGGAACTCACAACCTAATGGTTTATTTACTGGATAGCTGTTAATCTTTCTTCAGCGTAAAACAGTGGTTAACAAAAACCAAAACAAACTATCCTAAATCCTTCCTCCTTTTGGAGAAGGGAAAGGAAGGAGTTATATGCCAAACACTCTTTTACTAACTTCTACAACCTTTAATAACAAATCACTGACTCACCTATTTTTCACAATAACTCTACAACCCTTTTTTGAGGTACATATCCTTTTTGAATATTTGTAAATTGAAGTAACTTGCCCAAAGTTACACAACTAATAATTAGTCAAACTAGGGTACAAACAGGCAGTCTGGCCCAAGTCTCCCTGCCACTACCACACAGCTTCTTCATCTACCTTACTGTTTAATATAAGATCAAAACTGAAAAAAGAGCAGCTATTCAAAAGTAAGGATCACCTTTACAATAATGTTAAACGAAAGTTGAAATATACAAATAATGTCTATTAAAGGGTATAACATGTACTATATGCATAAATTTAAGTAATTACAAATCTAACCAACAACTTCAATACAAATTCTAATGAAAGTATTATATATCCACACCCAACCAATAATCCTAAATTCTGAAACTAGGAATAGTATAATTAGAAACTTCTTCCATAATAACCTTAAACCCTGGTTTGATGACCTGTTGGAACTTGGGGGAATTTGTCCCTTTTGATTGTCTTCTGTACTTTGTTGGGAACTACATTCTTACTTCTGCTCAATTCCAAAATTCCAAATTTACTGATCACTGGCATCTTTTTTTCGTAGTACTTCACAGTTTTCCGGAGAATTTTAACGTGCATGGCTCAAATCACCTGTATAGGCCAATTAAGTGACAAAGTTGTTTTTTTTTTTTAATGGAGGAATAAAACCCTAAACAGAAAAAGTCATTCTAAGCAATGAAATACTAAGAAACAGAAAGTAAGTGTAACAATTTGTGATTAGTATATTAACAAATTACAACATTTTATCAATTTATGATGACATATGAAGGTTTCTAGGCAGATAAAATAAGACAACTGACTAATAAAAACATCCTGAGTCTAAGATGTTCCTCTATTTAATCCTCTTGGCAAAAAGCTAGAACAACAGGGGGAAAACTGCAGGGAAGAAATGCACAGATAACATATATGTGGAACAAGGGACGGATGTTCTGTAGGTTATGAGGCTAACACACTAGCAGGTGAAAGGTTTCTGCATGACCAGGTCGCTGCAGTACCAATGAGGTTGTGTTTATTTACACTGTATCGCCTGAAAGAGCCGGAAAGCTTCGATTGGGCTATTAAGTTAGTACCACTGAAGAGAAAGGAGGGAATACGCAACTGAACATCTGGATAGGCAGACCGTCGGCCGGGCCCCCGGGGCAGCTGACCGAACCCGGATTACTCCCTCTCCTACGTTCCTCCTATTTATTTGCGCACAAAGAACCGGCTGCTTTAGGTCAACCAGTCCTCCATCTCCTTCTACCCTAATTACCGTGGCCTTAATTTCGGGATAACTAAGGCGAGAGAATGAGGCAGAAAAGGGAGGGGAGGAGCCCGGGGAGGTCGGTGTCTGAGCTCGGGAGGAGGCCGACCTCTCGGCGCAGGCCTGGGCCGGAACAGTCACAGCAACCCTACGCTGGCAGCCGCGCCTCGGCGGCCGATTCCAAGGGGCGCCTTTTGCTTTCCGCCGCTGCCCCACCACGTCCGCCTCGCTCTCCTCCGTCGCCAACACCCCCCCCCCAGGCCCCTCACAACGACGCAGCCCGCACCCGGAGACCTCGCAGCGGAACCCCAGCTTGTGTCGCCCTCGGTTTCGCTCGCCCTTCCAGGGGCTTCCCTCGCTTCTTCTACTGCCGAGCGCTCTGAAGTCCCCTACCCCAGGGCTCGCCCTTACTACCTGGATCCGCTTCTTGTGTCGCCTGCGTTCCGCCATGTTGGCCGCTCCGCCCGGTTCCCTCTGACGTGGAGCGAGGAGGGGGGCGGTGGAAACCTCGCGAGAGCGCGCGTGGGCCCGTTATGTAATCTGGCGGCGGGCGCCCGCCGCCGACCCCCCGGGGCGGGGGAAGGCCGGCGAGAGGCTGGGCCCGCCGGGCGGGCCTGGTTGGCTTCTTCTTTCTCCTCTTCACTCCTTTTGTTGCAGGAACTGGAAACCTCTGGGACCAAGAAGGGAATTGAGAAGAGGTTCAGAGAACAGGAGGGCTGGAGAGTCCTTGGTTCTCAGACCCGACTGGGCATCTGAATCACCTGGGAAGTTGCTAAGATACAGATTCCCGGGCCCCACCCCTCCCAGGGTCGGTACGTTTGGGGTGGGACCTTTCACGGAGAGATTTACTAAGGTCTGCGGAATTCCGGCCGTCTCTGGCAATTCCTATCTTTTCAACGAGTTCTGACGCACCAACGAGACTTGGTCCATATGTAAATTCTTTTAAACCCATTTAAGAGATGGGAAAACAACTGAGGGGCACAGCTATGAACTGATTTACCTAAGTCTCCACAGGTGGTAGACCGGCGGAGCCGAGCCCTAAACCAATTTTCTTTTTTCCGTACAAAGTACGGGGTAGTAGGGCTCATCTTAAAGTTTGGATTCTCCATTGCATTTTCTACCTTGTTTCTCGAAACTCACCTTTAGAATCCGAGAGTCAGAATTTAGGGAAGTACAAGCAACTAGTAAGATAAGTGGGAGAAAGAGTCTAAGAAGTTGGGAGGCAGGCTACTTAGTCTGGTGAATTACTCTTACTACTCCAACTATTATTATTTTAGAGATTCTCAGTCATGCTTACAGCTTAATTTCAAAATATATTGCATGAATGTTTATTTCTGTCTTCTGGATATTTCCACTGAATGTCCAATTAAAAGACCATTTCCCCAACAAAACCTGCCCCTTTGGCTGTATTTTAAATCTCTGATAACTTTGTCATTGTTCACTCAGTTACTCCTATTAGAAACCTTGGAAGTATCCCAAACATGCTTTGCTAATCAGTTACCAATCCAGTTGATTCTACAACTGAGATGTTTGGAATTCTTTCCTTCCTCATCATTCCTACTGCCATTTCTTTGTCAGGTCTTTATCATTACTTACCTGGACTATTGTTGCAAGAGCCTCCTGATCATTTGCCCCAACTCTGCCCTCTCTGCTACATCCCAAGTGTCTTCCACTCCACCATCCCATGGCTCTCCAGTTGTGTACAGCATTCATGATAGCTAATGTTCACACATACAAGCCAAATTTCAAATTTCTTCTATTTAATATGTATATAAAAACAGCTCAAACACTCTTCCCAGCACTCCATTTATATATTTGATGGCGGTAGCAGGGAATTTCTCCTGGCCACTTCTTGCTCTGCTTTCCCTTTGAATTTACAATCTCACTCCTGTCATTTGACTGTTCTTTCTTTCCCAAAGGAGGAGCATTGCCTCTTCTCCTATGTTTCACCAAAGCAAAACTTTCCTTTGCCCCTGCGCTCTGTCACTTCTTCTCCCTAGGGCTCCCTCTGAAAATTAGATTTCTCTTGCTTCATAGAATAGAGAAATTGAGGTCTTCACTCTTTACTGGATTCCTTCGGGCATATAGATTAAAAGACTCATTACCTTGCTCTACTAAACAAAGGGTTCTCCACTTTGGATCCCGTCTCTGGAGGACTGATGAATAGGTGGGGGTTGAAAAATTCAGTTTCTTGGGTTCTACCATCCCAGTAATTGGAAGGGAATAGTATATAGAAGTATTCCCATTGATAAGACTTAAGTAAACTGGAAACTGGTACATTCAGATTTTTGTTTTAAATAACACTTTCTCTGGGTCCATTTTTTATGTTAAACATGTATGTGTGACTAAATCAAAAAGAAAGAAATTATAGGGAAGTATAGCAAATAAATGGACAGGACTTTCTGGGGCATGGTTTTTATTTATTTACTTATTTATTTAATATTTTTTCTTATTTATTTGACAGAGAGAAAGAGGGAGAGAGAGCGAGCACAAGCAGGGGGAGAGGCAGGCAGAAGGAGAAGCAGGCTCCCCGCTGAGCAGAGAATCTGATGCAGGGTTCGAACCCAGGACCCTGGGATCATGACCTGAGCCGAAGGCAGACGCTTAACTGACTGAGCCACCAGGTGCCCCTGGGGCATGGTTTTTATAAGAGCATTTAAAAATATGTAGTTAATAATGTCAATGACTTAAAGCTGTTATTACAAAGAAAAATACATTTAATATAAATATATTTAATATATTTAAAGGGCTGGTAAGCCCCATTTTATTTGAAAATTGATTTAATATTTGTTTTTTTAAAGATTTTATTTATTTATCTCAGTGAGTGAGAGAGAGAACAGAAGTGGGGGAACAGCAGAGGGAAAGGGAGAAGCAGACTCCCCACTGAGCAGGGAGCCCAATGCGGGGACTCAATCCCAGGACCCCAGGATCATGACCGCAGCTGAAGGCAGACGCTTAACCAACTGAGCCATCCAGGCGCCCCTGATTTAATATTTTAAAATAAATTGATTCTTTAGACTTCTAGCATAAATAAAAAATGGCATAAATAAGACATTGAGCCTGTATCATTGAAAAACAAGCACAGATATTTTGTTTTGAAAAAGTGCTATATATTAACATGCTAATATTTTAAAATATATATATATACTATGTGTGCAAGGGAAATTCACTGCAGCAGCATTGCTTAGAATAGTAGAAATGGAAAGTAGAAATGGAAAAAGTGTTCTTAATGTTAAATGAAAAATAAAAATGTTTCGGAACAAAAAATGTATATTTTTATGTTTAATATTTAAAAATCACTTTGTCGGGGCACCTGGGTGGCTCAGTTGGTTAAGGGTCTGACTCTGGGTTTCAGCTCCATTCATGATCTCAGGGTCATGAGATTGAGCCCCGCATTGGGCTACACCCTCAGCACAGAGTCGGCTTGTCCCTTTCCCTCCCACTCTGCTCCCCCCAATACCCATGCTCTCTTTCTCAAATAAATACATAAAAATCTTAAAAAATATATAAAAAACATAAATAAAAATCACTTTGTCTTTTTTTTTTAAAGATTTTATTTATTTATTTGGCAGAGACACAGCAAGAGAGGGAACACAAGCAGGGGGAGTGGGAGAGGGAGAAGCAGGCTTCCCGCTGAGCAGGGAGCCCGATGTGGGGCTCGATCCCAGGACCCTGGGATCATGACCTGAGCCGAAGGCAGATGCTTAATGTCTGAGCCACCCAGGTGCTCTTCACTGTCTTTTTAACTGAAATGGTAATTATTTTGTCATTTCAAACACAAATGTTAGCAGTACCAATCTCATTCAGATACCAGATACTCACAATTTCTTTTACCCTATTAGTCCGGGTTCAGTGCACAAAAGAGAAACTAATCTAGGTATTTTAATAAGAAAGGAACTCAATTAGGGGAATTAGATGTTTCCAACATCCTTGAAAGACTGGAGGAGCAGGTTCAAGTCTGAGGCTGCCTGAATGACTGCCAGAACTGTGCAGCATAGACCAGTTAGGGAAATCTACCCTTGGGGAGTCAGGAATCCAGAATTAGCAACACTGAGCTCAAGAACCTACCAGGATAACTGTGACCCAGCTGTCAGAAAGCCAGGATCAGAAGCTATTGCCAGCACGGCTACAACAGCCTCTTAACTCCCACACTCAAGACTGGACACTAGAAAAACCCTGTGTCTCCATGACCTTACTTTGCCAGCAGAGTAAAGGCCAGTGTACCAGGAAGATGGCCTCCTCATTACTTTTGTCCTGATCTCCTGCCAGTGCATTGAATTAGAACCAGAATTCTAATTGTAAGGGAGTCGGGAAATGAACACTTTAGCTTTCCTCTTATACTGTGTGCTAGTTGACCACGTGCAACCATTATCTTCTTCTTTAGAATCACCTAGTTCATGTCTACCTTTCCTCCTTCATCTTTGATAAGGTGAGACTTGCGGGGTCGTGGAGTGCAAGGGCCAGGAAAGAAATCTCGAGACGTTTTAGGGTATAACTTAGTAAATTTACTGAAGCAGCACAGAGACAGGACCCATGGGCAGAAAGGGCTGCACTTCTGCTGTATGAAGCTGATGGTTACATGCTTAGTGCTCAAGGGGGAGGGAATGTGCAGGAGTATTAGATCATAAATAACTTCTTTGAATTTCTATTCATAAAACTACTTTTGCAAGATTTCTCTGGTGCTTATCATTCAGTTTGATTTTGACCATCAGTGAGATATACAGGCAGTCATGAGACGCTTTAAGAATGTAGCAACCAAAAAAAAAAAAAAAAAGAATGTAGCAACCACTGTGTATTTGATCCTTATCAAAACTATGCAAGCTATAGGTCAGCCTTCTGGGTGAAAGGTGAACATTTTTCTGCTCCTATCCCTCATCAAGACTACATTTCTCCTCCTACTCCCCCATCCTGCCTGTGCACTTTCACACTCACATGTTTCCCATTTTTTCCCCCTTCCCACTTACCATATCCTTCAAGAATCAGTTAACACGTCACCTCCACAGTGAAACCTTCCCTGAATTAATCCTTCAGCAGACTTAATTGTGTCTTTCTCTGGCTCTTATAACATTTCGTGTACTCATTGCTATAGTATATAAATTTACATTATTTGTTGTTTTTCTTTCTACCAGACTGTGAAACACTCAGACTGTTCTCAATGTCTAATCCAGTGCCTGGTTCAGAGTGAATAGATGTCAATGGAGTAGATGACAAATGATGAGAATGACAGGTCCTTATTCTCTGGAGCTTTAGTAAATGAGAGGAATATTCTTATAAGGCAGACAAAATTATGTTGGGAAGTCTTCATTATATCTCAAGGCTTCTACTATCTCTATAGTCCTCTTGAAATTTAAAAGGAAATCAATTTAATAAGAAGCTCCCCTAGATTAGGTTGAGGAGGCACTTTTCCATACAAGAAGAGAGAATCTATCTATCAGTCATTTTTCCCAGTTTCCTGTGAGTGTAGTCTTATCTGAGAAAAGAGACATGTGAGGATCTACCCTTTCAACCTACCTCCAACCTAGCAATCTGAGAGGAAATACAGGGTTTGACAAAGCTAAATGCCTCAGATTAAA